TTACAGAGTGTGCACAGTGTCTCTTGGGAGCCTATGCCCATTCTCTAGAGATCTTAAGAAGGGGATGATATGACAAGCTCCTGCCTGAGGACTGTCCCAGGAACTGGCCTCCCTGAAGACAGAACCAGAGGAGGTAATGTCAGCAGGGTCCAGAGGTCTGCCCTTGAAAGGGTAGAGTTGTAAAGACAATATGAAAATGATGACTTATTTATGCACTTAATTATCCATTCTTCTGACTGGATAACTTGTCTTGTGGTTGAGTGCAAACCCATGTAGTTATATCCTGCACTAGTCAAATCCTGAATTCTAGGACCTCTCCTCATGACTACAACAAAACTGCAACTGAATGCTAAACAACAATTGATTTAAAAAAAAGACTGAAACCTAGCAAAAAGATCTTCCACAACTGGAAACACCAAGAGGGAACCACAGCAGGATGGTAGGAGAGGGTGTGCTCGTGATACAATTGGGCCCCATACATCCCAGGTGGGCGACCCACAAGCTGAAGAATAGTTAAGTCGCAGAGGCTGTCCCACAGGAGAGAGAGCTCTAAGCTCCACATCAGGCTCCCCAGCTCGGGTCTCGGCATTGGGAGGAGGAGACCCCAGGACATTTGGTTTTGAAGGCCAACAGGGCTTGGCTCCAGGAGCCCCATGGGACTGGGGGAAATGGAGATTTCATTCACTTGGGAAGCGTACATGGAAACTCCCGTGCACCAGGTCCAAGGGCAGAGACAGTGATTTCATAGGAACATGGGCCAGGCCAGAGGATCTCCTGGGGACATAGGGGGCAGCTGTGGCTCATCCAGAGGACATAAAAGCTGGTGGAGGACATTCCAGGAGTGTTCATCTACATGAGCTTTCCTGGAGGCTGACATCTTGATTGGATCATTAGCACCAAGAAGTAGCCCCACCCAACAGCCTGTAGGGAAGCCTCAGGCCAAACAACATACAGTGTGGGAACACAGCCCCAGCCATCAGCAGACTTCCTAAGCCAAAGGCCTCTAGACACAGCCCTACCCACCAGAGGTCCAGGACCAAGCTTCACCCAGCAGTGGGCAGGCATCTGCTCCTCCTGCCAGGAAACCTGCATAAGCCTCTAGTCCAGCCTCACCCACCAGGGGGCAGATACCAGAAATAAGAAAACAAGAATCCCAAAGCCTGTGGAAGGAGTCCACAAACACAGGCCAGACTCTACACTGGGACTGGCTGGACCTTGAACCTTGGGTGACAAGATAGGAGTGTACTGCTGGGACGCATAGGACATCTCCCACTTCTCCAAGGTCAAGAAACTTAAGTAACCTACCTAAGAATAAAAATAGAAAGATAGACGATATGAGGCGGCAAAGGAATATCTCCCAGGCCAAGGCACAAGATAAAATTCTAGAAGAAGAAATAAGTGATAAGGAGATAGGCAATTCATCTGAGAAAGAGTTTAAAGTAATTATGGCCAAGATGTTCAGAGAATTCAAGAGGAGTATAGATGCACAGAGCGAAGTTTTTAGCAAAGAGTTGGAAAATATAAAGAATACCCAAACAGAGTTGAAGAATAAAATGACTGAAGTGAATAACACACTAGAAGGAACCAAGAATAGACTAAATGAGGCAGAAGAACGAATCAGTGAGCTAGAAGACAGATTAGTGGAAATCACTACTGCAGAACAGAAAAAAAAAAAGAATGAAAAGAAATGAGGATAATTTTAGAGAACTCTGGGACAACATTAAGTGCACTAATATTCACATCATAGGGGTCCCAGAAAGAGAAGAGAGAGAGAAAGGACCTGAGAAAATTTTAGGAGAGATAATCACCAAAAACTTCCCCAACTTGGGAAAGGAAACAGTCACCCAAGTCCAGAAAGCACATAGAATAGAACACAGGATCAGCCCAAAGAGGAACACACCAAGGCACATAGTCATCAAATTGACAAAAATTAAGGATAAAGAGAAAATATTAAAATTAGCAAGAGAAAAGCAACAAGTAATGCTCATGGGAACTCCCATAAGGTTATCAGCTGATTTTTCAGCAGAAACTCTACAAGCCAGAAAGGAGTGGCACAATATATTTAAAGTGATGAAAGTGGGAAACTTACAACCAAGAATACTCTATCCAGCAAGACTTTCGTTCAGATTTGAGGGAGAAATCAAAAGCTTCACAGATAAACAAAAGCTAAAAGATTTCAACACCACCAGACCAGCTTTACAGCAGATCTTAAAGGACCTTCTTTAGTCATCAAACCGTAAGAAAAGAGAACAAAAAGAAGAAAGAAAAAAAAAGACCTACAAAAGATTGCTTTGGCTGTTCGATGTCTTTTGTGGTTCCGTATATATTTTGGAATTGTTTGTTCTAGTTCTGTGAGGAATGTTGAGAGTATTTTGACGGGGTTTGTACTGGATCTGTCGATTGCTTTGGGTAGTGTGGCCATTTTGATAGTGTTGATTCTTCCAGTCCAAGAGCACAAGAAATCTTTCCATTTCTTTGTGTCATTTCGGTTTTCAGAATATAGGTAACCTCCTTGGTTAAGTTTATTTCTAGGTGTTTTGTTGTTTTAGATGCAATGGAAATGTTTATGCCAGTTATAAAATTCTGGTTTTTGAAGTGAAAAAAAAAGTGCATGAAGGGCCACAAATGAAAAAATATGCCATTTTCTTATGGGTGACTTGTATTCATATATATATATATATATATATATATATATATATATATATGCTGCATCTTCTTTATCCATTCAACTATTGACGTGCACTTAGGATGCTTCCATATCTTGGCAATTGTAAATAATGTTGCTGCTAATAGCAGGGTGTACGTATATTTTTGAATTAATTCTTATTTTGTGGTTGGCTTTATTCCTTTGATAACTATGTAAATTTAAAAAGCTAAAGCTCTAAACATTCTTAGAAACAATGAATAGTACATATATGTAAATTTTAAAATATATGTGCAGAAAAAAAAAAGAAATGAGCTATCAAGCCATGAAAGACATGGAAGAAACTTAAAAGACATATTACTAAATGAAAGAAGCCAGTCTGAAAAGGCTACAAACTGTACGATTCCAACCAAATGACATTCTGGAAAAGGCACAGCTACAGAAACAATAAAAAGATCGTGGTTTCCAGGGGTTTGGGGAGAGGGAGGGAGGGAGAGATGACTAGATGGAGCACAAGGGATTTTTAGGGCAATGAAATTATTCTGTATGATACTATAGTGATGGCTACGTGTCATTATGCAATTGTCAAAACCCACAAAATGTACAACATCAAGAGTGAACCCTAATGTAAACTTGGACTTTGGTTGATAATAATGTGTCCATGTTGGTTCATCGATTGTACCAAATATGCCACACTGATGAGGGATATTCAGGGTAGGGGAGTATATATGTGTGGATGGGGAGGGCTATGTGCAAACTCTCTGTATTTTCTGCTAAATTCTGCTGTGAACCTGAAACTACTCTAAAAATTAAAGTCTATTAATTTTTTAAAAATCCTGAATTCTAGGACCACTGTGAGCCTAGAGAAATATTTTCTTTTCATATCTAAGCTGAGACAAAACCTTCCAGCAGAACTGGAAGACTCCGCTCTCCTGAGCCATCTAACCCCACCCTCTCCTCTGGCCACCCTCTCAACCAGTGCTCCAGGCCCTTGTCCTTCTCCCCAACTCTGCCCCAGGCCAAGGAGAGAAATCAGCACAGGCCAGGCCCAAACTTAGGAGACTGAAAAGAGCAAGAGATCACCTTCTCATGACAGAGAGCAGCTCCCACGGCTTCTCAGCTTCTTTCCAGGAAAGTCTCCTTGCTGAGAGACCAGGAGACAGTGTTACATGGAATGGGAGAGGATTCAGGCCCATCCTACAGGAAGCTCAAGGCCTTTGAAGGAGAGAAGACTGCAAACCCCACCGTAGTGCTCTAAGGCACGCCTGTGTACAGCTTAGCCAAGCATGATGTGCTGTCCTGGGCCTGATCTCATTTGACCTTCACAACCACACTGCGAGTGAGTCAGGATCATCAGATGCCCATCTCATGGTAGCAAGACTGAGAGATAAAGTGACTTCAACAGGGTCAGATAACTAGTAAATGACACAGTTAAGGACTTCTCCCCTACTTCCTCATTCTTCACTCCCAGGGTAAGGTGGAGAATTTTGGAATATTCCCAGGTTCTGATTTCCCACCCACACACATCTTCTGGGAGAACTTGTCAACTTGGGGAATTGGAGCCTCCAGTGGTTAGAGCACCTGGCTCCTGGCACCAGGGGTCATAAAGGAACTTCAGGGTCCATGGGAACCTGGCCCACTGTGGAGGGAAGTCAGAGCACAGCCTGGGACTTTACCTCTTGATGTTTTATCTTTCGCCTTTTGTTTGACTTTCCGGTGACGCTTAAAGACAAAAGATTTAGAGTGTGAAGCTGAGGCACGCTTCTCTTTTCATATCTAAACTGAGACAAAACCTGCAAATACTTTCCAACCTTTTTCTGCATTCCAATTTTATATTCTTCTGCCTTTCTTTTCCCTACTCTACCTTTTTCACCCCATTTCCTTTCTCTTCTTATTTCTGATTCATTTCAAGGCTCTTCCTTACTCCATACCTCCACCCCCATGCCCTGACAAAGTATGGAGACCAGAAAGAGACAGGAAAAAACAGGAACAGAATAAAGGACGGGTGGTCTAGTAGCCAAAGGACTTCAGTCATCCAAGGCCCTAAATATCTACCAACCAGAAGAATCACCCAAATTCAAAGCTGTTATGGGATCCACTGAGGAAATTTCTTCCATTAAAAAAAAAAAAGCAGGGGTAAGGATAACAAGAGAAAGTGAGGGGATAAAACCTTCTTGTTTGAGGCTTAACCGGTTCAGTCGTGGTCATAGTGTTTCCCTACCCGGCAGCAGCTCCTGTTAGGTCCCAACCTTAAATCTTGGTGAGTCTTTCTCACTTGCCAAATAATTAATGCAATAATGATAATGGAGCCATAAGTGTACAAGGGATATCCAACATCCCACAGAATAAAGGTAGGGTTCAACATAATCTAAACTTCACGAGCCATCACTCTTCCTAGGCTTCCTAGGCTTCCTAGGCTTTCAGGATCTTAGAACTTAATGCCTACAAATTCTAGACCTGTCATCTCTGCCTCACAGAGGACAGAACCAGACCACTAGACTGCATCACAAAGCCCTCCTGTCTCCCAAGTCATGCATAGTATCACAGCCCTTCATTTGTCCAGGAGAAGCTGGACACGTGACATGGTATTCAGATGAGGGTGTCTGGTAGTCTGTATGGTCGTAGAGTCTAAGCCTAAAGGTGCCAAGGTCACAGAATGCATACAGTCTTTCAGGCTCTCTCTATTCTCTGTACCCTGATGACTCAGCCTTCCTCTTTTCAATAACAGTCTGGCATCTATCCCCAGATAACTGAGTCTCTGTGTACACTGCACGCCCTAAAAGAGGGAGAGTGGCTAGGTCAGAGGAGCTCCATGAACTATACCACCTGTAATGGGAAGACAACTAGAAAACACACAAGAGGACAGGGCATACATTGTCTTGTTAAGTGTTAGAAAATGATGGTGCTGATGTCATAAGCAATAGGTGATCAGTATCAAGAGGTTCAGAAAAAAGATCATGTCTAATGTGGCAAGGAAAGAACATAGCTTCTAGTCTTTTAAATAACTTTCTAACAGTTAAAGGAGTCTTCCCAGTCTTTGTGGTTTCACTTAAGATAGATGGGAAGAAACTGTAAGTAGTGCCATCCATGAAGGCATGTGAAAGAGGCTCGCTTCTGGAGTTAAGAGTTTCCAGAAAGGACTTTACAGCTCTTATTAGCATCCTGCCTATTCATGGAGATGAATTATTGGTAAGACTTTTTCTGAGGTGGGAAGAGGGGAGAAAATTAGGTTTCAGCTATACCCTCCCCAACTTGGCAAGACTTTCGATTAAGGGCCACAAACTTGGGGCTCTTTCGTTGAATCCACCAGTGTTTAGATGAAATGTTTATGAAAATCTGTTTGAACACCTTCAGGTAGGGCAAGCTTTTTCCTGTTCAACCTCAGTACCAACCACCTTTATGTCCACTGATTCACGTATTAATGTTAATTTCGTGGTCCCTGTTGACACTATGATATGCCACCAAAACTCCAAGATTTCTGAATCTCTTAAGAAGTTCTTGCCTGATGAGAGTGGTCCCACAGTCCCCAAATTCTTCAGCTAAAAACCTCCGAAGAGGCTATTTGATCCTTCCTCCAGCATCCAGTCCACCACTGAACAGGTGTGGTGAGCCAACGATCTGTGCTCATCCCTAAGCTGGACAGTGTCGAAGGTACAAAAACATTTGAGGTGTTTTGTGTTTTTGTAACCTGCCTGTTCTCAAGACACTTAAAAATCTAGTTTTAAAGACAAGATTGATTCACAATCAAGAATCCACCTTATTAAAAATTGAATACAGAACCAGCCTTACTAGAAGCTGGGAAAGAGAGGTATAGGGAGTTATTTAATGGGTACAAAGTTTCTGTATGAGATGATGAAAAAGTTCTGAAAATCGACAGTGGTGATGGTTACACAACACTGTGAACATACTTAATGTCACTGACATGGACACTTAAAACTGGTTAAAATAGTAAAGTTTATGTTGAGTATATTTTACCACAACTTAAAAAACAAAAGGCAAAAAAACACACCAATCATTAGCATGAGGGTTTTTTTTTTACCATCTATGAGGAATAATATTCAGAAAATTTTGCAAAGAAATGGATTAGTAAATGTTTTTCTTAAATGTCCTTTTTTAATAAAACAAAATAAAAACAAAACAGATCCTTACATTTAAAATAACTGAAGAGTCTCACGCTGATGATGGGATGAATTTGAGCCATTTGACATCCTTCCTGAACTTTTAAGTTCCATAATACAGGAATGAGAAGACTTTTCCAACTAAAGAGCACTGAATGACAGGTTAACAATAATCAAGTAAAAAGCAGCTTGCATCAGCTTTTTAGCAGCAGGTCAAGATACCTAAAAAGTGGCTTGAATCTTTTATTACTGTTATTATTCCTACCCAACCAGCTCCTGCTTCCTGTAGCTGCTGCTGCAACAGTTCTCAGGCTCCTACTAGCCTGACCTCTTGCCCCAGACAAAATCATCAAATTTGGCAAACTAGGCACCAGCTTCAACCAGAATACTATTTCCTTACAGATAATCCATAGCCACTGTCATCCCGCTAAGCCATAAAAAACCATCTGCTGCAAACTCCTCTACAGCAATTTCCCAAGCCCTTGCTCCTCTGTCTCAGAGCTGAGGAGTTAAGAGTCAAAGACAATCTTACACCTTTGTGCAGAGTAGGCCTTTAGTACAGGCTTATTTATTGATTTGGTACCCACTGATGGAGGGTACTTGTGTGGATAGGACAGTGGGATCAGCATCTTCTTAAACAAGGTCACCTTCACATAATGAACACATAGTCATTTTAATGATATGTGCATGGACCTTCACATTTGCCCTTCCTGCCTCATGGTTTACAGTGAACAGCAAACAAGGGAGATGAAGGACAACAAAGGCCTCCGTGGACTCTGGAGGACTACACAAAAGGATAAAAGATTCAGATTCAGCTGTTTTTAGAAAACTTGCTAAAGCCGGACCCTGATTCCATGATAATGCTACAGCACTGCAACTGTTGTAATAGCAGAATCTCTTCAGATAATTGTTCACAGTTACCAATTCATATGTACCATGAGTCGTATCATAACCCTATAAAGAAAAATCCTGTGAGGCTTTTGTCCTTTGGAGGGACAATATTACAGCAGTGGCCTCACAAAGGAGTTTTGCTGTGTCTCATTCTCAGGAAACACTAGTGAATACCCTAGATGTCTCAGGTGCTGGGGACACAGCAGTACAGTTGCTGTCATTCAGAAGTAACGTTTTTATACACGAGCATTTTTATTAAGGTCCGAGTGTTGGACAGGGAGTTGGGCAGGAAGCCCAGGCTACTGTCAGGCAGCAGGACCACCAGTGCTCACCCAGCAGGTTACTACACGATGCGGAAGTGTAGCAAGCAGCCAGAGGCGCTAGAGGGCAGCACATGCCCACCCAATGAGTCTCGAGGACTTAGCAACAGGAACGTCAAAGGGCCATCTGTTCCAGTGGCTCTCAATCCTGGCCTTACATCAGAATCATCAGGAGGATTGTAAAAATATAGATTTCCTGGCCTCACCCCAGGCTTGATGAATCAGAATCTCCAGGGGAAGGGCCTTGAAATCCATATATTAAATAAATGTCAAAAATAATTTTCAAGCAATAGAGCACTGGGATCTGGGTGTGTGTTTGGGAGCAAGTGGCCTCCAAAGAGCAACAGTTCTTTCCCTCAAACCCCATTTGTATTGAGATATAACTGGCATATAACATTGTATTAGTTTAAGGTGAACAACATAATAGTCTAATGTATGTAGATATTGTGAAATGATTACCACAGTAAGTTTCGTTAACATCTATCACCTCACGTAGTCATAATTTTTTTCTTGTAAAAAGAACTTTTAAGATCTACTCTCTTGGTGGGGAGGGTACAGCTCACTGGTAGAGTGCCTGCCTAGCATGCACAAGGTCCTGGGTTCAATCCCTAGTACCTCCATCAAAAAATAAATAAATAAACCTAATTACCTCCCTCTAAACAAAGAATAAATAAATAAAATGAATAGTTAAGTTGTGGAAAGAAAACAGTGGCTAAAAAAGAACTACTCTCTTAGCAGCTTTCAAGTATACAATATTGTTAACTATAGTCACATGCTATATATTAGAACCTCAGAACTTATTAATCTTATAACTGAAATTTTGTCCCTTTTGACCACCTTCACCAATTTCCCCCATCCCCACCCTCTGCCACTGACAACCAGCAATCTGTTCTCTGTATGCGTTTGTATTTTTTTCCATTTTCCATGTATAAGTGAGACCACATAGTATTTGTCTTTCTCTATTTCACTTAGCATAATGCTGTCAAGGTCCTTCCATGTTGCAAATGGCAGTATTTCCTTCTCTTTAAAGGCTGAAAAATATCCCATATCATCTTCTATATCCATTCATCTGTCAATGGATGCTTAGGTTGTTTCCATGTTTTGGCTATTATAAATAATGCTGCAGTGAACATCGGTGTATAGGTATCTCTTGGAGACAATGATTTCGTTTCCTTCAGATAAATACCCAGAAATGGGATTGCTGGATCATACAGGAGTTCTACTTTTAATTTTTTGAGGAGCCTCCATACTGTTTTCCGTAGTGGCTGCATCAATTTACATCCCCACCAACAGGGCACAAGGACTCCCTTTTGCCCGTATCCTCATGAGCATTTGTTACCTCTTGTCTTTTTGATGAAAGCCATTCCAACAGGCTTGAGCTGCTGTCTCATCGTGGGTTTGATTTGCGTTCTCCAGTGATTGGTGATGTTGAGCACCTTTCATATACCTGTTAATCATTTGTATGTCTTCTTTGGAAAAATACCTATTCAGGTCATCTGCCCATTTTTCAATTGAGTTGTTTGGTTTTGCTATTTAGTTGTATGAGTTCTTTAAATTTTTTGGATATTCACACCTTATCAGATAAATGATTTACAAATACTTTTCTCTCGTTGCCTTTTCATTTTGTTAATGTTTTCCTTTGCTATGCAGAAGCCTTGTACTTTTATATAGTTCTGCTTGTTTATTTTTGCTTTTGTTTCCTTTGCTTCAGGTATCAAATGCAAAAAATTCATTACCACGATTAATATCAAGAAGCTTACCCACTATGTTTTCTTCCAGGATTTTCATGGTTTCAGGTCTTACATTCAAGTCTTTAATCCATTTTGAGTTGATTTTTGTATTTCGTGTAAGATAGGGTTCCAGTTTCCTTTTGCATGTCATTGTCCAGTTTTCCCAATATCATTTATTAAAGAGACTATTCTTTCCCTATTGTATATTCTTGGCTCCTCCATCATAAATTAATTGATCATATATGCATGGGTTTATGTCTGCACTTTTTATTCTGTTCCATTGATCTATGTGTGTCTGTTTTTATCCCAGAGCAATCGTTCTTATATTCTAGTAGAACTTGGTGAGACTCTGATGAAACTATGCCCCTTTTCTTACACTCAAAATTTGATAAAGTTTCAGGATTTATGAACTTCATTTATGGACACTCTGTGGATCCCAAGGAGACT